TCTGTAATGTTTACGTCTGATAATCAGATGTCATATGTTATATACCTCTGTGTGTAACCATGTTAATATTTCTGCTTAAATAAATTAAAATAGTGTTAGTTTATCCAGTACGTTTTTCTTATGTGTTATCAAATTTTGAACATTTTTGTTTCGGGCAGGTAACCTTTCATGTCTGGCAGGTAACAATTTGGTGTCACTAGCCTGACAGTGCAGGTAAAAAAACAAAACAAAAACGGAACATGTTGAACTCTGCTGCAATGGCACATAAATACTCAAGCTTTCAGCGAGGTGGTTTTTAGTGCTTAAATGAGGAAGTTTGAACTTCCCTTTTCCCCTTCTCACCATTTGCTGTTGTGAAAACAAACATGCCTTTTTTCTCTTTATCTGATTGCATTGCATGTTATTTAAATTCTTATTGAGTTTAGAGATGTATTTTGCAAGGGAGGCCTGGACCCAAAGGCAACCGTACATGGTATTGGTCTGTAGGATGAAACGGATAACTTGTAGAAAACCCATGCAAGCATGGGGAGAACATGCAAACTCTGCACAGAAAGAACCAGAGATTGAACCCATGACATCCTTGCTGTGAGGCATCAGTGCTTACCACTGCTCCGTCATGCTGCAGTCATCCAAAAAGAAGCTTCTGCGAAATGTTGTGACATTTTTCACAGCTTCCAGCTTTGTCAGATACTGAATGAGGCTGCAAAAGTAAAAACGCTATGAGTCAACAATCGAAAACTCTGCCATCAGCCACAAAATAAAAACCACATGTGTGAGAACAAAAAGGCTTGTTTAAATATCTCAGACTTACAGGAACATAAGTCTGTTTGAACATTAGGGGTATTTTTAATCTTTTAGGCTGAAGGGCAGATTCTCCATAAAATGAGCTTTTTCTGGCTTATCCCAGTGTTTGATTAGGATCTGAGGAGCAGAGAGGTCAGAGAAACGCCTCTATATTCTGGCTGTGTTAACATCCAGCTTTTTTAAGTACACACTGCCCAKCTGCTGATTTTAAGAAGGGTAAATGCTGTAAAGGTTACTTTGATAAACATTCAGGAAGTGTGTTTAATGTTAAATTTGACAAAAATCTGTGGTTTCCCAACTCTACTATGTAACAGACTGATTAAATTAGCTTTATCTGGTTTTACTAGCTGAAACAAAGTCTTTAAATCACAACTTTGTCTGATGCAACATTTATTTTAAACAAAGGTTTTAATGATTTGATCAGAGCCTACTACGTCATGAAGGGAACCACAGAAACTTTTGTTTAAGCTATTTGTGCTGAAAATGTCTTGTTTTGTTTATACATGCGATGTTTCCCTGTGATGTGTGTTTTCATGTACACAAACCCCTACGCCTGCATGTGTTTTCCTCRCTCCACTAACTCTTTCCAATCCTCCTCTCAGGCTCCTGTTTGTGTCCTGGCAGACACATGGTCAGGAAGAAATAAAAGCTTCAGTTCAGGTGAGCGTTTTGAACTTTTGCTGCGGTTGTCCAAGCTTATTGTTTTCTTTTCCTTTTTACTGCCTTGAGTGGTAACTTTGAGCTTTGTTTTACAGCCCCCCACCCAGCTGACCTCTGGACTCAGTCCTGGCGGTGGCGCTTTGCAGCCGGTGGGCTGGCTCAGTCTGAGAGTTGGCTGGTAATGAAGTCCAGCATGAGGCAGTGGTGGAAGCTGGCGCTGGTGGCCATGCTGGCCTGGGTTCTCGTTTTTTTCGTCCTCCTCTCTTACTTCTTGGATACTCGTGCCAATGAGCCTCTGACCTCCAGCGGCTCTTTGCTGTCTCAGCACCCTGACACCCGCCGGCTAACCTCCATACAAGCCTCCAATCTGCAGCACTCCGTTTTGGGATCAAGACCTACAATGTATATCAGAGAAACGCCAGGTTTTGGCTCTTTAAGCAGCTCCTCAACCCCAGAGACCAGTGTGGAGGTCAGTCAAAGCCCGAACGAGGCTCCCTATGCTACTTACGGTAGCCAGGAAGTAAACCACCGGGACTATTTGGACCCACAGAGCCTAGCTGCCTGGTCTTCCTTCGGTACAGAAAATGTAGAGAACCAGGGCTTTCACTCAGATCCTGCAGTCCAGAGTCGTGAGAGAACATCACTGATCACAGAGTATCCAAACCACGATGATACAACTCCTTACCACGACGGTGATGAGGAGGACGATGGGAATGAAAACGAGGAGCTCGGAATCAGAAGGAGGGCTCCAAGGGCCAAGAGGGCGGGCGGTGACTCCGCCAATCTGGATGAATATCATTTCTCCAAGTTTGACTCGGTGGTGCATCGGCTGTGGAGAGGCCGCGTGTCCGCCAACATGCTGAGTCCTCGACTGCAGCAAGCCATGAAGGAGTACATGAGTGCCAACAAACACAGTGTTTCTTACAAGGGACATCGCAAAACCAGCCAGAGTGCCAAGGATATGCTGTGCCAAATGAAAGCCCAGGCACAACTGAGAACTCTGGATGGGTCGGAGGAGCCCTTTTCCTCTCTCGGCTGGGTTGACTTTGTGCCGCCTCTTCCCCTGGAGAGGCTGAGCAGGCGTCAGGAGAAGAGCAGCCTGAAGACCTGCGCCGTGGTCACATCTGCTGGTGCCATGCTGCGCTCACGACTGGGGAAAGAAATCGGTAAGTGATGAAAACAAACATTGATTTTCACTTTTTGTGAACTACRCTGCTAAATTCTACAGCTATCAAATGTTGCCTGATGCTGTGCTCTGTATGATCTGGACACATTGGAGTTCAGACTTTCAGAAAACCTTTTAAATTTGTTCGTTTCTCACACTCTGCTGACATATACTGTGTCAGGACACCTGGTAAAACTAGCCTACTCTGATTGGTTCCATGTGTTGTCTGACGATAAAGCAAGTTGGAAGAAAAATCAGCTCATCAACATGACATTTTAAGATCACACACAGTCAAAAAACCTGCAAAAAAAATCTATATTTTTCTAAATGTTTTGAGCAAAAATACCTCATTGTGTCCAAATTATACAGGAAAGATTATCAAACGTGAAATCAGAATTTTTCTGGTTCTCCTTTGTCTCGTCATTTAATTTTTTATAATTTTTTGTGACTTTCCATCTGTCAGAAACACCCAGGAAGCACCTCAAATGAAATTTGGTTAAAAGAAAACAGCACGTGCCGAAGGTTTTAAGSAAATGAGTGGATTAATCTTTAATTCTGTTTTGTTGATGCAGCCGCAGTATCGTTGCAAAAGTTTGAGTGAAACCTAATTTCTTTGTGATTGGTATGGAAATTGGGCAAGAAATGTAGGGATTTTTTCAAATGTATGCAAACAAAATGGAAATGCAGAAAAGACAGACTTGAGTTTGTGCAAATCTAACCAGCTTTAATGCCAACATTTGTTAAGATCTTTTTTTTCCTACAATTGAGACTTCTATAAACAGGGTTTCTTATATGGGCTTTAGTCTTCAAGAGGAGTCTTTTTGATTTCTTGAAGGTCATCTTTAAGAACATCTTTTGATCATTCAACATGATCATGACTATAAACATACATATTGTGGATATCATGGTTTTTAGGAAGGCCCGTTTCCTAATGCTGCTGAAGTTCTTTTTATTACATTTTCTGCCTGACTCCAACCCCACTGGCTGTAGTCCAACCTCAAACCATTATATTTTCAGCTTTCCACTTTACAGAATTTACTCTCCATTCTATCAGTTTGTTGACATTTTTCTAAGGACCTCAGTAAATCTATACCAAGATATACTAAGTTTTTGGCCCGTACTTTAAAGCAACAATTCAGGGGTCGGATTTATAAAACTGGCGTACGCACAATTTGAGCCCAGAAACTAGCGTACGCCACTTTTTACGCCAAGGTTGTGATTTATAAAATCCAAACTTGACGTGAAAATGTGCGGTGCCTCACACCTCTGACCCATGCGTATGCTCATTTTGGAGACGGGAAACTGCGACACAGATGGTGAAGTGAGGAATTAGAGCCACACTGTGTAATGATCACTGTCAGAGATTTAATTTCACTTCATAATCAGACTTAGATTTTTATTCAACTTTATCATCAGCTTTCTTAACAGTATTTATGCTTCTGCTGCTGAGCCATGAGGACCTTTGAAATAAAAAAACTTAAGTATTAAATAAAAGTTCCCGTGCGCAACTCCATTCATCTGCTTCCTCCTCAGACGACCCTGACCCACAGACCCCTCCCTGACCCACAGACCCCTCCCCAATAAGAACAGCAGGACAGCAAAAGTCACGCTTTGGATACACGCGCAGGGTGCATCCACCTCGCCAGTGTGGATGTTATAAAACTTCACGTTTAAAGTCTGTATTTGTTACGCGGGAAGGGGGTGCGTGTGTGTGTGTGTGTGTGTGTGTGTGTGTGTGTATGTGTGCGCGCGCAAGGGGCTGTCTGCCGCAGATAACAGAGCAGGCAGGAGGGGGAGAAGATGAGGAGAAGAGCGGTGGACTTATTTCTAATTTTATCTGACTTATTTAATTTAATTTTTTTTGTTTATATCGTCCTGCAGGCTCTGAGGGAAAATTAATTTGAAGCTGAGTTTTTTTGTAAAAATCGTTAGATTACTCTAAAGCAAAATGAGGGAAAATCTGTGTGAGTTACAGACATTCTGTTCACGTGAGCAGYCGTCAGTCAGCACCTGTCAACTTCCAGACACAGAGCGTGTCTGAACCAATCACTTTTGTTGGCCTTGATCAGCTGACTGATTTAAATACATCTTAACATTCATGAGGTACTTTACATTGACTGTTTATGGTTGAGTGTGGGCGTGTAGAGGGTAGAACCTGAGGCGGGACCTCGTGTGCAAACTCTGACGTGTGGCTGTGGTTTATAAATGAAAGGTGCGCAAAAACATGTGTACGCACAGTTTTATAAATCTGAATTTTTTTTGCGTACGCCATTTCCGCCTTTTGGCCATACGTTCACTTTTATTATGGTTTCCTCGCAATCCTTTATAAATGAGACCCCAGATCTTTTGGAGTGAGGGTCTGTGGAAAAGTTCTGAGCAAGGATGATCTTTGTAGATGGCTTGTTACAACCTTAGAAATTTATGGCAATTATTGTAACATAAAATCAAACAATTAACCACTTAAGTTGATGTCAGTAGAAACTGAGTTTATTTTACAAAAAATAAAATAAAATAAAATAAACAAACACAGGGAAGCTTTAAGCTTCAGGGCCTCCAAGGCCAAAATAACAAACAAAACAGCCCCTTCTTTATATAAAATAAAATGTCACTATCTAAATGTAAATAAAAAAAGTACAAGGGCTGAGCTCCCTGGCTGTCCACAAAACAGGAGAAAAGGTCTGGAACAAAAATGGCAGAGAACCCCTACCAGCTTCCCCTGTGAAGACAAAAACACATACACTTTTAGTATATACACTTAATGGCTCACACAGTAATTGTTCACATTATGTTATAAATTCAACTTCACCACACAGACAAGATCACTGCAGATCAAGGTCCAGACAAAAAGGGGCTTGACATCTCTGAGATGAAGTTCTTTATGGAGTGGTAAACGAGCAGCAACACATATCACCTGTGGCAGCCAGGTAGACCTGAAACACAGAGGAGAAAGCTCTCTCATAAAGAGATTCCCTAGATGTCAGTGACCGTAACATGGCTCTTTAMATAACTTGCAGAAAGTGAATTTATTTTCTGACAGAATTGATGATTTACCAAATTGTCCAAGTGGGTCCAGGACCAAAGGAGATTGTTGTCTTAAAAGGGACCCATGCAAAATCCTCTTTTTTAGTCCTTAAATGCATTTTGTTGTGTACTTGGTGTTCCTAAGAGTTCAGAAAAGTTGAATTTAGTCTCACCCAGTGCTGTGTATATCTTAATATTCTATTTGGGTCATATTTTCCAGTTCGTTCAGTTCTCTTTATACTCTATTATGCATTTTGAGCATTAATGTCCATGTATTTGCTGCAGAACCAATTTTGCGAATCTGTAGTTCTGCAGGTTCGTTGTCTTCATTCTCCTCTCGCTCTGGGTCTCCAACATGTAAGGCTGGATGGACAAGTCTTCTGCTGTTGACATCTTTTAATTAGTGCTGCATGGGCACATTATCACATAATCAAGTTAACGCAGCCGACGCTTAACGGGTACTTTTCAAAAGCGTGATTTAGCAGTTATGTATTTCTTTATATTTCTCCGTCAGATCTCTCTTCACTGGGCAGCTAACAGACACACACAAGCCCAGTGGTTATGGCGGGGAGGATCTTGGTCACTATTGGATTTAAATGGCACTTTGTCGCGCGTCTCAACCAATGAGAGTTTTGTTGTTGAGCCGTTGCATGGCAATTCGCAGCCACTCTCGTGAACTCGGTCGCACTGCAGCCAGGGCAGAAACTGCAAAAATATCTTGAGATTAATCGTGATTAAAATTTTAAATCTATGCCCAGCACTACTTTTAATCAGTTTGTAAATAAAAAGTTTCTGCACCGCTGGATAATAACAACAAAAATGGCCAAATGAGTTCTTCTCAGATGCTCCTCAGAACACTGGTGAAAGAGGGGCTTGTGGAGCTACATTAAGGAGGAATTCAGACCAAAGAAATGCAGTTCCACTTTATATAAACTACGATTGAAACATGAAGTAAATGTGAAAAGGAATAATTTAAAGAGGCAATATCATGTAAAATCAACTTTTTAGAGTTTTATATCATGTTATAATGTTATACTCTCATAAAAAACATGCCCAAAGCCTTGCTTTGACTCATTCATGCATGTTTGAGAAATCCAGCGTTTTTAGGAAGCCATGCTGAGGAGCAAAACGACAGGTGGGGACCAGAAACGCCTTTTGGTACCAGAAATACCCCTGGGACGTGTCTTTAAGCCGAACTTCCTCATGGCAGAGCGCACTCCCTGCCCCCCTCCCCACACACCCCGCCCATGACTCCTGCAGGCTCTCGGGTCAAAGTGAAAGTGAAACCTAACTGTCTGCTGAGCTCTCAACAGTAGTTCTCACTCAGTGAAGCTCTTTTCAGATTAATTGAGGAAATGTATTTTCAG